CTGGTGCCAGAATACAATAGAGCACCCCGTTATCTTTGGACCCATTGACCAACTCCAGGCTTAGTACAATCTTCACAGGGTCCCTACTGATCCCTTTTCTGTGGGACTCCAAAGAATGGCACAGACTAAAAAGGGGTGGGGTTAGAAGTCTGCGCAAGGGCTGTCACCTCCAGAAATTCATCTGGTTTAAGTCCCCTACTCAGTCATTCTGTCCAGGCTGTGACTGAACAAAACCAGTGGTCGGAAAGCTGCTCCCTGCTAGTCAGCTCTTCTCCTCTGACAGCCGTCAAAGCTAGCTACCCCAGTTCCTCCCCAACCTCCCGGAAAGGTGTCTCTTATTTGCTTTCCCCAGGAATCTTTATTGCCGCCGACTTAATATTCTTTCAGCAGGTGTTTATGAAATCCCATTTGTGAGTGTCACAGACAACGGGATGATAAATGGAGAGGGTAATCTAACGAAAGAAACTGCTTTAAAATGTAAGGTGACAGAGGCTTTAGTGAAACATGTATCTGATATTAAGAGCACGGGGAAAGTTTATTACTTATTATTATCTGTAAGGACTGAAGACAGACAGCAACCCTACCTTTAAGAAAACTTGTAGCCAGAAGCAAAAGAGGGAATAAATCTGTGTATGTTGGCTGCAGATCCGAGTGCATGGTTATGAGCTATGGAAACATAGTTCCCCTGTGTCACAAGATGTTGCTGTATAGAAGTAGAAATAGTAGTGGATTCAGTCATCCAAAAGAGCAGAGCGACTGAGTTGCCCAACACTGGTGAGGGTGGGCACCAGTACAACATTGCTCCCTGCGAAAACAGTGGCCCCTGAATATCAACTCCCTGTCCTTGGAGAGCACCACTCAGTAATGAGCAGAAAGAGATCTGCCCACAAGAGCAACCTGACAACATAATGGTCCAGGAAGGAACTGTGTCTCCCTGAAACATACTCACATGCATCCCCGATGGTGCTAAATTGTACTGAGTGCCAGGGAAGGAACAGGCTGTGGTGGGTCTGAATGAGATGTGCCAGCTTTACAAGGGTCCTGAAGACAATGTCTCTGTGAAGACTAACACTTCCTGGGAAACCCTGGAGACACATAGGGGTACACCACGCAGAGAGAGAACGCACTCGGGAAAACACAAGTGCAAGGAGGTGGGAATGAGTTTGAGGTGCTAAAGAAACTCAAGTGAGTGATGCTGGAAGCCAAAAGGGAAAAGAGGAGAGACCTGCGCTCAGACCCAACCCCCTGGGTCTATCTATCTCTGCTTGAAATTCCCACCTTGCCCTGTTCTTCCCTGCCATCGGCCCAAAGCAGATTCTTTATTAACCAATGGTAGTAAAACACATTCACAGCATCCAGAAGGGAATCCCACATCACCTTCCCTTTTTTATCTAAATAAAAAGGAAGGTTTTAACTTTAACATAGTAAAATTACATATAGCAAAAGGTATCAAGCAAGAATTACAGTTACAATATTTATATCTACTTTATCTTTTGTCATAGTTAATAAAAACTGTAATTATAGCTATCTATTCTTTAAATCCATCAAAGACCCCAGAAGGATATAATATTACCTAAGTTAACAGGAAGTGCATTGTAAGCAACTTCCAAAACTGTAGAATTGACAGAGGCAACTCACTGCCTGGACAGTCACCAAAGTTCTTTTGTAACATTGGGACTTCCATCTTCAACCTATAAGCCCATAGTATCTGGCAGACGTTTTTATGAAAGAGGAAATTTGAAAGACTCTTTTGCCTCTTTTGGCAGTTTTTCAGTCACTTTCCTAAAGAATCTCTGGCAGATTCTTTTATAAAGCAGGCACCCTGAAGGACTGTCTCACCTTTAGGCAAGTTTAGTAGTCATTTTTTGTGGGTTTGTTTGTATATCCAGTTTATACAGCATACTACCAAGCAGTCCAGGCAAGAGCAGTTTATTGCCCAAATGGCTACCAACTCCATAAGGAGCCTCTTTAATGCCCATCATCCTCTTGAAGTAGATTGGTGCTGTCAGGAACAGATGTGTCTCATTGTCATGAAAAGTCCTAAGTCCTTACAACATTTTAAATGCCGTATTTTGTTAGTCTTTGAACATTTTTAAGAATACTTATCCATCTGAAATATATTTTTGTACATCTAGAAAATCTAACATGACAAATTTGACTATTATAAATGACTATCTATTAATCTTTATTCTTAATTATACATTACATTTTTAAATGAGCTGCACAAACACAATACCTTAAACAAGAGCAGAAATATATATAACAAAATTGACCTTAAATTTGTATCAATAGGTCAAGATCCATACCAATGCAAAGTATTCATTTCTATGTCATAACCCCCCTTTAAATGTAAACAAAGATTTATAAATAATCATTTAGGGACTTTGGACATTGTTCTCTAAACTATTCCTGATGATTGGGGGTGTTGTTAATCAGGTCTTTTATGGGATACCCTGTGTGGTAGGTCCATCTCAGTCAACAATCCTGAAGCTGTCATGAATGTTGGACCATCTGGGTCATTGCTTCGGGGTGGGGGGGTCTTGTTTGATCAAACCATATTAGCCAGTAAGGAATCCATAGCTTTTTATTCTCTATGGAAACAAAAGCAGAACCTCTTTTCCAAATCAACATAATCTTAGACCCAAATTTTGAAGACAAAATACCTTTAAAACATATATATTGGTTTAGCTTAGAAGCCTGTACAATGAAATGTCTCTCTGTACTTAGCTCATTCACAGTCAAAGAAAACATAATACTATACATAATCCAGACTCTCTGTGTATTTTCCATCTTTATGTGGCTTAATTTTTTTGCTCCTTTAATCTATGACTGTCTATACTCTGTCTCTTTAAAGACTTTGCTTTTTTTAAACTAATTTTCATAACTATCTATACTCTTTTTTTCCTCTCTCAAGGTTACATGTATTTTTTAAACATGCTGTGACCTGTTTAGATGTTTATTTCTGTCTGAATCTGTATTTATGGTGCATCTGTAATCATTTTTGACCAGGAGTGTTTTTAAATTGGAAAGCAGCTTGGTCTCAGCAGCACTGGATGCTGACTCTGTCTCTCTTAGCCTTTTAATAAGGTGGAGGTACCTTTACCACCAGCTCTGGGACTGCCAGGTGGGAGCTGTGCTCACCACCTCAACTCTGGTAAGCAATTAGCTCATGCTGCCACCAAGTCACTTGCAGCATGTTGCCCACAAACCCCATTCAAGTGCTCAGCCTCCTGAAAGAGCCAGAGTTGTTCCCGCAACTAGCACAAACCAGGAAGCCTTCTTAAAGGAGTCGGGCAGTTTTTGCTGCTACTGCTGAGTCAGGAAGCCTTCTCTTAAAGGAATTGTGCCTCTACTTGCTTCTAATAAACAGAACCTATCTTATAAAAGAAATGCAGCTACCAAGAAACTATGCTTGGCTGCTGTTTTTGTGGGTCTAGAAGCCCTCTTTTGTTTTTTTAGGTCTTATGTGAATCCATGCTCCGTGTTGGACGCCATTTTGTAGTCAGAGACTGCTCATTCATTTCCCGGCCACCCAGACCTGAAATAGTCACACAGAAACTTTATTAATTAAAACACTGTTCGACCAATGACTCTAGCATATTCCTAGTTAGCTCTTACATCTTAAATTAATTCATTTCTCTCAATTTGTGGCCTACTGGTAAGGTTCCTCAGGTTTCATGTTTCCTTCTGCTTTGGCAGCTACATGTCATCTCTCTAACTTCACCTACTCTCTCTATGTATCTCTGTTTACATTTCCTGCCGGGCTATGTTCTACCATGCCATTGGCCCAAAGCAGCTTCTTTATTAACTAATGGTCATAAAACATATTCGTAGCATACAGAGGGGAATCCCACATCAGTTTTGGGCTTAATTTCAGTGCAACAAAAAGTGATCAGAAAGATCTGAGTCGAGATACTTCTGCTGGGCAGAGTGGGAGCTGGAGAGCCAGGTCTGCAGAAATGAGATTCTCAGGATATAAATTGAACCGAGCTGTCTCCCAGAATGAGAATCTTAGTTCTAATCTGTTGTTCTTTTTTAATTAATTACTAAACTTCATATAAGTATTTTCCCTTAGAAAATATAAGACTCTGGCTGTTATTTTATCTTTTTTTCCCTTTCTAAGACATTCTCCAATCAAAATATTAAGTCCTTTAGTGTTAAATACACATGGCTCAATAAACACAAATTATTTCCTACACAAGTCTTTAACGTTTGCCCGAGCCCCGGGTATTGTTTAGATTTTACTGCCATCTAGTGCCTTGGAACGCATGTTTGTGTCGCTGAACAAGATGCTCTCCAAACCATGAAGGAGGAGGTCCATTTCTGCTTCTGGAATGGAGAACGTTTAGGTTACTTTTATTTACTTCACTTTTTAACCGATGTAAAATAAGCCTGGCCTTATTTATCACCCCGTCTCTTCTCCATAGACAGTTACCTGGATTTCATTGATCTCTCTGGTTTAAGTTTATCCCATCCCCTAAGGCTTCCTTCTATCAGGATAATCCCTCAGGGATGCTGAGTGGGGTGGATGCACGTGTCCACTGCCCTAGAGCGCAGGGGAGAACAGGAAACCCAGCCCACATGCTGTTCTGAAGTTAAAGGCAGGAGGGTTAGTTGCTCGAGGGCAGGCATCTTCCTCCCAGTTCCATAACTCAACAGCCCTGGTGTTGGTACAAAGGCTGCCACACAAGCTCAGACCCTTACCAGTCCCTTGAGGCTCCCGGCTTTAGGATTAGATTTTGCTTCTGACATAGTCTTCTTTTACACTACCCAGAAAGATCCCTGGGGCAAAAAATGCGTGCTGAGTCTTTTTGTTTGGCTTAGTTTTGTTAACTAGAGGTTTGCTTAGGCTACCGTAGTAGCAAATGTTCTTTTAAAAATAGGAATGGGAGCGTGCCCTTCTGTGTTACCCACTTTGGGCTTCCCATAATGCTTTGGGCTTCCCAGAATCTGCTTCCCCACTGTGTTCTCCTTCATTGTAAATCTCTTCCTCCTCCAAGGTCTCAGGCCACTCGCTTCCGCTGGCACCAACCAGCACCTTTCGACAAGCAGCAGACGTGGGCCATCGATAACGTCTATATTGGGGATGGTTGTCTAGACATGTGCAGTGGCCACGGGAGATGCATCCAGGGAAGCTGTGTGTAAGTTGGAATCTTTCTTGTCTAAACAGCCTTATTCGTAATTCCATCCAGAAGGTCTCAGAATGCTGGGTTTTCCATCACTCCCGAGTGACCTTAGCTTTTGAACTTTTCTGAAATATAATATTGAACTAATGGTGGAATTAATGGCTTTTACAACTGCATTCTTACTTAGTGATTCGCACCTGAACAACAAACAGCTACATGGCCAAAAGAAAGCTGAATTATAATGGACTATATTCATTTTTCTTCTGTTTCTATGATACATTTGAGCCTTGAAAAAGATGATAGATAACTTTAGGAGTTCATTATATTTTCCCCCCCAAAAATAATACTAAGTCCAGATAGAAGTAAGGACATGCATTGATAATTCTTACATTGTTTGCATAATAAAGTATAGACATGTCTGGTCAGTTATTAGGCATATTTGAGAGGCAGCTTGCTATATCATTCTTGTAGATGTTAGCATCTTTGGAAGAATCTACTTTTAAAGCATCTCGATGGATGTGTGTGCAAGCTCCGGCCACACACACACACACACACACACACACACACACACACACACACGTGCACTACAGCCTTTTTGTTTCGTTTTCTAAGACTGTGCTGTTCGATTGGTTAGTGTAGAGAAGCTAATAGAGAATTCATACGCTCTTCTCCACTGATCTCCATAAACATGGGAAATCCGGCCCTTGTTTAATGACTGGAACCCATATCCAGGATGACTCGGAAGAGCCCTGGACAGCCTCCCGGTCCTGTCCTAAACAGATAGCTGAGAACTCTGTTCGGGGATGGCTACTTCGCGCACAGCCAGTTGGTGCTTCAATGGCTGGAAGCTTCTGCTTAAAGGACCAATTTCATATATTATTATCACTCAGCACTTTAGTTTGGCAGCTGCAGTTTATAGGCTATCTGAGGCTGTTTCCTGTGAGATAAGACGCTAGTATGTTGTTTAAAGCTGATTCTTTCTTCCACCTGCAACCCCTAGTCACTAGTTAGGAAAGCCTGGAAGCGGTTAATTCAAAGCCTGCCTCTAATCCTGGGGCATTGTTCAGGAAAGCAGGTGATCTTTGGCTCTGTGACTCTGTGAAGAACAGCCACATTGAATCAACCTGGTCTGCAGGTGATCTTTGGCTCTGTGACCCTGTGAAGAACAGCCACATTGAATCAACCTGGTCTAGGAAAAAGTTGCTTTGTTTGCCATTGACTGTGCCTTTTTCTCTTTCCACACCCAGCTGTGATGAGCAGTGGGGAGGCCTATACTGTGATGAGCCTATGACCTCCCTTCCAACCCAGCTCAAAGACAACTTCAATCGTGCGCCCTCCAACCAGAACTGGCTGACTGTGAATGGCGGGAAACTGAGTACCGTGTGTGGAGCCGTGGCTTCAGGACTGGCTCTGCACTTCAGTGGGGTAAGAGTTAGGCTGGCGCTTGCTCCGTTTTCTGCCCTCTAAACTGAGTCCCTGAGGCGCCTTTGCCTTTAATGCCTGGTCGTCATCTGAACTCTCAACAGCGCTGAGCGTTTCCAGAATTCCCCTACCAAAAGCTTGCACTGAGGTTATCAAAAATTCAGCTGGCATGAGCACAGGGAATATTTAAGAACACATCTTTAAAGGACTTTGATAGATTTCCATGCTGAGAAAAGGACACCTAAGCAGTGTGTGTTGGGGATGGGCTCCGTGTGAATGGAGCCATAATTGAGACTGAAGAGTCAGCAGCCCAGGGAATGAGCTTCCCTGCTCCTTGAATGGACAAGCAACACCTAATTGTTTGTAAATCACCCCAGAGAGAGTAGCTTACTGGTAATTACTGAACATTCATATTTATAGTGTATTACTTTGTGAGCGTCAGAAGCAATATTGGAAAGTTTTCCTTTGAAAAAAATTACAATCATTCTATTTTGCTGCCAAATTTTAACTTTGTAAATGTATCATTTCTTTAGTATCATGATTAGATAGGCAAATTAAGTTTTTTTAAAAAATAACCAATTCATACTCAACTCCTTCTTTTTTTTAAACTGTACTCTATCACTGAGTTCATATTGGTGCCAATGAAGTATTAATTTATATCCAGTATTTTACCCAGGGGAAACAAAAGTTTATAAATCATATTGATTTTTCATAATTGGCAACATTAAGTATGAATATTCGAAATACTCTTGTTCCTCAGTAGAAGTGAGAATGGCCAGGAATTCCACATATGCTCAGATGACAAATACCTACCTATCAAGATTAATATATTGATAATTGATAATATCGATGACTTTAAATCAGCTATGAATATTTAAATAAATGACATTTGGGGCTGGGGAGAGATGCTTCAGTCAGTAAATGCTTGCTTTGTATAAAGACTTGGATCCCCAACATCCATATAAAAATCAAGCTTGGTAGCCTAGGTAACCCACGTGTGGAGGGTTGGGAGAGGGGTGAGGTGGGAGGAGAGAACAGCCAGCTCCTCAGAGCTCATTGGCCAGCAAGTCTAGCCAATCAGTTAGCCAATCCAACCCCAGGTTCAGTGAGAAACCCTGTTCTAAAAATAAGGTGGAGAGTGATGGAGGGAGGTAACCGACATCATCCTCTGACCGCTACATGCACGTGAACACATGTGAGCATGTAACCCCGTGCATCCATGTGCACATACACTCACACAAAACAACCACAGACATCCACACACATTTAAATAAATAATTTTTAAACCATTTAAAAGGACATTGTAACTATCTCATTATTAAATTAAATAATATAATTTTTTCAGTTGTGGTCATTTTAAAATTTCCCTATTAAAAATATTTACCTAAGGTGGCTGGAGAGATGGCTTAGCAGTTAAGAGCACTGACTGCTCTTCAGAGGACCTGGGTTCGATTCCCAGCACCACATGGTGGTCCCAGTGGTCAGTAATGGTTCCAGGGAATTCAACACATATATTCACACAGACATTCTTACACACATGTAAATGAAATTTTAAAAACTAGTTATGTCAAAATGTTACTTCCTTAGTAACTGGTGCTTCTTAGCAAATGCTAACTAATAATTGGAAATAAATTAATAAAAACTTTGGATAGTTACTTTAATCCCAACGTTTGCTATGGAGATATATGTATATTATATATTACAATATAAAAATATATGACTAGAAAACCTCCTTAGAATATATGACACTTGATTAAGTAAGTCTCAATACTGAAATCTGAAAGTTCAACAGACATGAGCTGGGCCACATGCTCGAAGCTACTGTACGAGAGATAAGAACACAGAATGACAAAACCAGAGAAAATCTGTAGTCTGCGATCTGCAGCCAAAATTCCTGATTGCTGCTTTTCCCCGGTCTGTTCCTCATTTTTAGGGCTGTAGCAGATTGCTGGTCACTGTGGATCTGAATCTCACCAACGCTGAGTTTATCCAGTTCTACTTCATGTACGGATGCCTCATCACACCGAGCAACCGTAACCAAGGGGTCCTCCTGGAGTACTCTGTCAACGGGGGCATCACCTGGAACTTGCTGATGGAGATTTTCTATGATCAGTACAGCAAACCTGGGTTTGTATCTGAACTGCAGTACCTAGGCTGTCAAGCTTGGGAAGGCTCCCAGTAACCGGCTGTCAGGGACTGAGGGGACCTCCAACTTACTTATCAATAAAGGACACCTCAGAGACACGCAGGAAGAGCTTCCTGGGGTATATAATAGCTAATCAGAGTTTTTATTTTAAAAGCAATTAGCTTTCATATCCCAGAGTAAGGTTAATTACTATATCAGAATGCCAACAGTAAATAGTGAAAAAAACATGGAGGCTGGGTGTTTGCTAATTTCAAAAACATGGACCCTGAGTGTATGATAATTTCGAAAACATGGAGGCTGGGTGTATGATAATTTCAAAAACTTGGAAGCTGGGTGTATGCTAATTTCAAAAACATGGAGCCTGGGTGTATGCTAATTTTAAAATCGTGGAGGCTGGGTGTATGCTAATTTCAAAACATTGGAGAAACAAACATTTGTTTAGCAAGTGTCTGCCCAGGGTAAACAAGGAAACAGGAAAATGGCAGTATCCTCAGGATGCGTAGACCCTCTTACATTCTTCTTAAAAGACCCTAAACAGCCATCAAATATGGACCAAATATTCTAAAAAGACATAAAGCCGTCAGTGTAGCCAAGTAGAAAAGCCAGAGAGGGGCCACATACGATGATGCCTTTATGGAGCCTCGGTTACTCTGTTGGCTGAGGGGGAAGGATCAGACGGCCAGGCTGGGAAACATTGTGAGACCCCATCTCAACAGCAGAAGGAAAACAATAGAGGACATGAAATAAAAGGAAAACGTTGAATCAGGAGTTCCACCGTTGCCCTCCAGGCTCAGAAACTGGTTGAGATGATGGGGAGGAACTGTAAGACCCAGAGCCGGTTTGTGAGGTTAGGGAAACAGCGCTTTCCAAACAGAGCAGGGCCAATGCAGAGCTGAACTCTCAGAGTTCAGCATGCAAAGACCTTCTCAGGCTTAAACCAGACAGCTTCCCAGTCTGGAGCAGGGGAGGTGGGCACAAAATCTGCCTCGTACCCACGGAGCTATTGGCATTTGATGACTTATGGGAGAGGGAGCAGCAGTTTTCATCAGTGATTGACACTTGGTATATTGAACACACTTTAGGTCACGCACAGCATTGGTCAGCCAAAAACTCTGCATGGACTCTTAGTAGGGGCAGAGACCAGGAAGTGGAGTTGGGGCGAGAGGGGGGTGGGGAAGGATCTGGAAAGAGCTAAGGGAGGGGAACGAATATGATCAAAATACATCATGTGAAATTCTCAAATAATAGAAAAAGAAGGGTAAACTGTTGAAGTATTCCTGTCTCAAGGGAGTGAGGCAGAGGGAGAGAAGGGGACACTTACCAGCGTCCTCGGGCCTCCACACATGCCTGCGTGGACAGAAATACCCACATACCCACACATGCCTGCGTGGACAGGACTACCCACATACCCACACATGCCTGCGTGGACAGGAATACCCACATACCCACACATGCCTGCGTGGACAGGAATAC